AGAGTAAAACTTTCTACATAAAAGGGCAGAACAAAATTATCACCAAAAGAAGAAGAAACCAATGAAACTTTTTATCTCTATTTGTTTCCCTAGAAATTCTTTTTTTTTTTATTTTTTATTTTACTTTAAGTTCTAGGGTAGATATGTAGATCTTGCAGAATTGTCACATAGTATACACATGCCATGGTGGTTTGCTGCCTCCATTCCCCCATCACCTACATTAGGTATTTCTCCTAATGTTATTCTTCCCCAATCTCCCCACCCACTTCTATGCCTCCGCTAGCCCCCATTTGAGAAACATTTCTCCTCTCTTCTTCACTACATAAACGCCACTGTCTATCACTACATAAACACCACTGTCTGTCTAGTTTGCATGAAATATAGGGCTGTTCTTTATATGAAGTGAAATTAAGTCAAATGATGACACACTGTAATAAAGTAAATAAGTACTTCTTTTTACTAAAATTGGTCACTGAAATTATCTGTGTAGACTGTTAAAACTCAAAGACTGACTGCTGTTAATACCTGAGAAAATAAATGTCTATCTACCAATTTGGAAGAAAAGTACCCATAAAATAGCATTCTTCTTGCTCTGAGGGTTGCTCACATCTAGAATATCCTTATCAAATGATCCTAATCCTCCCACATACATATAAACTGAACTTTTCAAAAACAGCTCAACTCTTTTCAACTTCTATACATGTGGATATTTGTCTGACATAATTCTTATGATTTCATGAGATGAAACACAGGTAAAATACAATGCCAAATATTTTTTTCCTGAAATTTCTCCCATTGAGGCAAACTCATCTTGCCAATAATTGACCCCATATTATCATCATCTGTACCAATCAAAACCACTGGTGATGCCGCATTTCTGATGGGATTCCTATGCTACTCTCTGTGAGATTATCTTTCCAACCTCCTGACATCCCTTCTGCAGGTTTTGATGATGATGCTATCACCTGAAGATGTCAAGTGAGGTTTTTAGACCAAGTTTATGTCACTGTACATGAGGACAACCTCATTAGGACTCTCTTATGGCCAATAGTGTCAGATTCAAGATGGCTCTCTGAGAAAAGACATGACTGTGTGCACTAGAGCATGAATGGAATATGCTAGCTTTCTCTGTGGCTGCCCACTTCTCAGTGTTGAATCATCATGGCTGTGTTCCTGTCTGTTTTAAGTGTAAAGAAGTTTTTAAAAATGCATTAAGGAGGGCCGGGCGCGGTGGCCCACGCCTGTAATCCCAGCACTTTGGGAGGCTGAGGCGGTTGGATCACGAGGTCAAGAGATCAAGACCATCCTGGTCAACATAGTGAAACCCCGTCTCTACTAAAAATACAAAAAATCAGCTGGGCATGGTGGCGCATGCCTGTAATCCCAGCTACTCAGGAGGCTGAGGCAGGAGAATTGCCTGAACCCAGGAGGTGGAGGTTGCGGTGAGCCGAGATCGCGCCATTGCACTCCAGCCTGGGCAGCAAGAGCGAAACTCCGTCTCAAAAAAAAAAAAAAAAAAAAAAAAAAAATTCATTAAGGAGGAAGATACAATTATAAAGAGCTACTGGAAGCTTTCCTTGAAGTGTTAAATTTTAAAGACTTATTGAGTACACATGGCTCAAGGATGGGAACAACAGACACCCACGCCGAGTTAAGCAGGGATGATAGGAGGAGGGTGATGGTCAAAAAACTAATCTACCTGTTAAGTATTATGCTGATACCTTGGTGATGAAATCATTTGCACAACACACCCCAGTGACATGCAATTTCTTCAGGTAGCAAACTGCACATGTATTCCTGAAATCAAAATAAAAGCTGAAGAAAAATAAAGACTTAGAAAAAGCTTTATATTGATAATTCCTGCCTTAATTTTAGAAATAGGAGTAATGGTCTTTGTAAGCTTCATTCTAAACTCACTTTCCCAACATATAATATTTGTGTGTATCTCCATATCCTCATTTCCATTTATGTTTTAAATCATGAGGCTGATGAACTTACAAGTCACCTCATTATAAGCTACTGCGGATGTGGATGCATTGTGGTCCTCATAAAACCTTTTGCTATGCTCCCTTTGCTATGCTCCTTTTGCTATGCTACTTTGTTCAACTCTACTTTTAGGTACTTGGATGTAGGAATTGGTTTTCCCATTTCCTTTTGAATATATTGAGTAAAGAAGAAACTCATAGTTCATGATTCAGAATCATGACTAAAAATTCACCCACAGTTTTAGGCTCCAGGAAGAACCCTAACTTCTAATCAGGCTAGGGTGTGCAGTGTGTTGGGGACTTGCCTCATGATGTGATGTAAGAGTTTGGCTTGTTTGCAATTATATATTTTTGAAAACTGCTATGGCCAGGCCCATCTGTGTGAAATCTGGTGGTTTAGTATACTGTGGGAAATCATATCTTCCATGCTTTTGGAGGTTTGTTTGGGGACTTGGTGCACTACACTGTGTCATGTAACATCGTGGCAGTACAGCTTTGTGTCAATTGGCTTTTTTCTGTTAAGTCTGAGCTCTCAGACCTGATTTTTTTTTATTTGCCAGTTTGAGGGGCCACTCCTTGTCCAGATCTCTTGTGCCTCATTTATGGCCTGCCACTCTGGTCTTTTCTTTGGTGATCTGTAGTTTGGTAAGGTAGACTATTCCAGTATACATGTCAATAGATTTTAATATGCATACCAAAGTGAAGAAAAAAGGAGATTTCCCAAGTCATTTAAGTATTAATGTGTCTCCATTTAAAATAAATAAAATTATTCTCCATGTGTTAAGATTTGGAACACAAATGAGGCTCTTAATGTCTCAGAGAGAAAGTAGATGAGTGTGGAAAAGTTAAGGGTTACCATATGGTCAAATAACAGCACCAAAATAACTGTTATTTTGATCTCAGACACGAGAAGTATGGTCCAGGTCAGCTGTATCTCTCACTCCAGACTCTAAGTGTGAACTAGTTTTCTCACTGAAGCTTTTGGTTTCATGTGGAGAATATACTATATGATTGCAGACTTTAAAAGGAATCATGCTGATTTTGTGGAGCTCTATGGATTGCAGTATGCATTCATACGACTTTGTAGGCTTTTAAAGTATGTTTCCTGGACACCACCCTGGTGCTGCTCATCAGATTGCTGTAGTCTGTGAAGCGGGAGCTGCTGGTGGCAGGCTGGGGACAGTCCTCCCTGCAGTGGGATTCTTTCTTTAGCCAGCACATATGCATAATCCTCATTCAGCCCATGTCCATCTCTTAGATCATGGCATGGAGGGTTGAACATATGTTTTATATGGCTTGCCTTTTTGTTTTTTCTATCTAGTTTTCTCCACCTGTATACAACATATATGTATTAGTCTGTTTTCAAACAGCTATAAAGACATATCTGAGACTAGGTAACTTATAAAGAAAAGTAACGGACTCACAGTTCCACATGGCTGGGAATGCCTCCAGAAACTTGCAATCATGGTGGAAGGGGAAACAGGCCCATCTTACATGGCAGCAGATGAGTAAGGGAGGGAGGGAAGGAGGGAATGAGACAGAGAGAAAGAGAGAGACACAGTGGGGGGTAGGGGAAGAAGTCAGAGAGCCCACAAGCAAGAGTGTGTCGGCAAAGGGAAAACTACCATTTATAAAACCATCAGATCTCTTGAGAATTCACTATCATGAGAACAGCATGGAGGAACCGCCTCCATAATCCAATCACTTCCCACCAGGTCTCTACCTGAACACCTGATGATTACAATTCAAGATGAGACTTGGGTAAGGACACAAAGCCTAATCATATCAACATATTACTTCACCTGCCAAAAACCTTGTGTCTTTGTAAGCAGGGACTGCCCTAAATTAGCATATTTATAAACTTTTTTATTTTTGTAGCCAGCTCACCTGTGACCATGATGATATCGACTTTGTGGCTTTTGGGTTTGGCAAGGGACAATATAATCCTATGATATTAATGTCAACAGGCTACAGGGTTCCAAGTAATTCATGATTCACTCTGTAGGGTGAAAATAACAATTTTCAGTTTTCTCAAAGACTTGAAGGTGTATCTGCCTTTTGAGCATGTAAAACAAGAAATACTTGTACATAGAAAACACCCTCCTGAATGCAGAAATACAGTTTATATTTCCTGTCACTGACATTTTTTAAAATTTTACTTTAGGTAAAGGGGATATCACCACTGATCCTACAGAAATACAAACTATCGCCAGAGATTACTACAAACAGCTCTATGCACATAAACCAGTAAACCAGGAAGAAATGGATAAATTCCTGGACACTGGTACTCTACCAAGTCTAAACCAGGAGGAAGTTGAAACACTGAATAGACACTTTTTAATATTGGATTCTGATATCCTGCAGTCATGGCTTTCAATAAGTTTTTAGTGGATCCTGCAGATTCACTTCAAAATAAAGTCCGAAACTGTGGCTTTCTGGAATATGTGAGGCACGAGCACCTATCTTTGAAGATGTGGTTACTAACACTCAAATTGGTGAGTGGGGAGTGTGCAGTCTGATGGCAATGATGAAAGATGACTAGAGACCCTGCAGCTCAATGTTGTCTTCCTGAAGCAGGTGCACCTGTGTTCAGAATGGTGGGATGCTCTTTCCTCCCTACACATCCATTCAGTTTCTGTACATGAGGTTATTGCCTATGGTTTGTTTTTTTTTGTGCCAAAATAACATCTACACATTTTACGATTTGAAACAACTTTAGATATACAGAAATATTCATAGATAGTACAGAGAGTTTTATACATCTTTCAGATATCTGGAATGTTAACATCTAATATAACCATAGTATCATTAGGAAAACAAAGAAGTTGTATGTGGTACAAAAATTTTAACTGAAGTACAGATTTCTAACATATTTTACTAGGCTTTGCAGTAATGTCCTCCTTTGGTTCTAGGATCCAATCCAGGATGCCACGTTACATTTACTATCTGGTGTATTAATTATTAGTTGCTGCATTACCACATACTTAGTGCCTCAAAACCACACACATTACTCACAGTTTCTCTGGGCTGGGAATCCAGATTAGATGATGGCCAGGGCTGGGCTCTCAAGTGAAGGTTCAATTGGAAAAGGATCCCCTTCCAAGTTCATGTGTTTGTTGCTAGGATTCACTGGTGCACACAATCAAACCTTTTAACAAATTAATACCAATCTATTACCAATAGTTCAAAAAAATTAAAAATGACAAAGTGGAGAAGACAGCACTTCCCAATTCATTTTATGAGACAAATTTACCCTGATTGCAAATAGAAATTTACTAAGGATATTTGAAGAATAGAATATTATAAATTGATGTGTATTATGAATACAGATATTAAAATCTTTAAAAACAGCAAAACAAATCAGTAACATGTAAAAAGAATTATACAGTATCACCAAGGATGTTTACATCAGTAACACAAATTTGGTTCAACATACAAAAGAAATTAGTATTCATGCACTATATTATTAAAATAAAGGACAAAATCCACATGATCATCTCAAAAATGAAGAATAAACACTTGCTTAATGCAAAATCAACTTACGATAAAAACATATAGCAAGTTAGACGTAGACAGGAACTTTCTTCACCTTAAAGACAATCACAAATAATTCACATATCATAATTTACTTGAGAGTTGTCCACTCTTGCCACTTTTATTTTTAACATTTTACTAGAGGGTGTAATTAGGAAAAATAGGCTAGAAAAATAAATATGAAGAATCTGAATTGGAAAGAAAGTCAACTATGCAAATGACATCGTCTTGGGTATGGAAAATTCTAAGAGTTCTAACAAAATATAATTAGAAATAAAAAATGGGGCCGGGCGCGGTGGCTCACGCCTGTAATCCCAGCACTTTGGGAGGCCGAGGCGGGTGGATCACGAGGTCAAGAGATCAAGACCATCCTGGTCAACACGGTGAAACCCCGTCTCTACTAAAACTGTATAACTCATTGAACAAAAATAATTAAATTCTAAATAAATGAAAAGACATTGTATATTCAGTGATTGAAAGGCTTAATATTGCCAAGATGGCACTATTTTCCAAATGGATCCACAGACTTATTGCAGTCCCCAACAAAATTCTAGATCAATTTTTTTGCCTAAATTTGCATGTTGATTATAAAATTGATATGTAAATGAAATAGATCCAGTACAAAGAAATTAATCTTGACAAAGAACAACAAAGTCTGCATAGTAAATGCACACTTTATGATTGTAAAACAATTACAAGGCAACAGTAATAAAATGTTAGTGGTACAGGCTGGATGCAGTGGTTTGTGCTTGTAATCACAGCTACTTAGGAGGCTGAAGCGGGAGGATTGTTTGAGGTTACGAGTTTGAGACCAGCCTGTGCAATACAGCGAGATCCTTTTCTACAAAAAAGTTTTTGGCAGGTGCAGTGGCTTACGCCTGTAATCCCAACACTTTGGGAGGCTGAGGAGGCCAGATCACCTGAGGTCAGGAGTTTGATACCAGCCCGACCAACATGGTGAAACACCATCTCTACTAAAAATACAAAATTAGCTGGGTGTGGTGGTGCACGCCTGTAATCCCAGCTACTTGGGAGGCTGAGGCATGAGAATCGCTTGAACCCAGCAGGTGGAGGTTGCAGTGAGCGGATGTCACACCACTGCACTCCAGCCTGGGTGACAGTGAAACTCTGTCTCAAAAACCAAAAAGTTTTAAAAAAAAATTAGCCAGGTGGCTGGACACGGTGGTTCACGCCCATAATCCCAGCACTTTGGAAGGCTGAGGTGGGCAGGCGGATCATGAGGTTAGGAGACTGAGATCATCCTGGCCAATATGGTGAAACCCCATCTCTATAAAAACTAGCTGAGTGTGGTGGAGCATGCCTGTAATCCCAACTACTTGGGAAACTGAGGCACAAGAATCACTTGAACCCAGGAGACAAAGGTGCAATGAGCCGAGATTGTGCCACTGGACTTCAACCTGGCTACAGAGCGAGAGATCCTGTCTCAAAAAAAAAAAAAAATTACCCAGGCTTGGTGGCATACACTTGTAGTTCCTCATACTCAGGAAGCTGATGTGGGAGGATCTCTTGAGTCCAGGAGTTGGAAGCTGCAGTGAGGCATGATCATGCCACTGCACTCTTGCCTGGGTAAGAGAGTAAGACCTTCTTTCAAAACAAAAAGAAAAAAGTAAAAGAAAAAAAATGAGGTTTGTGGCACTAGTATAAAGATAGACATATACATCAATACAATAAAATTGAGTGTCCAAAAATTAACACCTTCATGATCAACTGATTTTCAAGTTTGCCAAGTCATTTCAATGAGACAAAAATAAATATTTTTAAACAAATGTTGCTGGGACAAGTAAATATGTACATGCAAGTTGAACTCCTCTCTCATACCATATACATGATTGACTCAAATTAATTATATATTTTAATGTAAGTGCTAGATGGGCCAAAACCATAGAAGATAACATAGAAACCTATTTTCATGACATTAGATTATTAAACAATGTTTTCTAAGGTGTGACACATAATGTATAAGTGACAGAATAAAAAATAGATATATTGGTCTTCATCAAAATTAAAATCTTCCGTGATTCAAAGTATATCATCAAAAAGTAAAAAGACAAAGCAATGAAAAAGAGAAAATCTTTCCCAGACACATAAAGATCTATTATTCAGTATATATAAAAATATGTTTTAACTCAATAATAAAAAGTCAAATATCTAAATCAAAAATGGCTAATTACTTAAATGTACATGTCTCCAAAATGCTATAATTATATCCAAGAAAGACATGAAGATTTGCTCAACTCCTTTGTTATTAGGGTAATGAATATTTAAACAATGATGGAGTTATATTTCACCAATATAAAATGTGTATTGTTAAGTGAAAAAAGCAAGTTGGAAAAGGCAAAGTACTGTGTAATTGCATTTACAGAACACTCTGGAAAACACAAATGTATAAAGGTAGTAAAAAGATTGGTGGTTACAAGGGGCTTGGGAGAGAGGAAGGGTGAATATGAATTACAGGGGTTTTCTATGGGGCAGTGTAATTATTCTGTGTAACATTATAGTGATGAATGCATAATAGATAAAATATGAATACATTGTAACCCATAAATATTCACGATTATTATATGTGAATTAAAATAACTATGCAAATGTTTTATCAATAATCTGACAATACAAAATTTAGTTAATTGTAGATACGTGATGGAAAGAGGCAAATGTGACGGAAAGAATGATGTTAAAATATCTGTTACACAATGAGAACACATGGACACAGGAAGGGGAGCACTACACACTGGGGTCTGTTGGGGGAAAACAGGGGAGGGACAGAAGAGGGTGGGAGTTGAGGAGAGATAGCATGGGGAGAAAAGCCAGATATAGGTGAAGGGGAGGAAGGCAGCAAATCACACTGCCATGTGTGTACCTATGCAACTATCTTGTATGTTCTTCAAATGTACCCCAAAACCTAAAATGCAATAAAAAAAAAGAGAGAACAAAAATATGTTACAGTCTTAGAAAATCATTAGATTTGTATGAGAACATCAAAGAACATGGAGGAGGACATCCAGACACAAATGGGTAAACATGCTAATGTCCACTGAGAAACGTCTGTAGACGCAGCCCATCGCCCACCGCTCACCTCCTCATGCCAGAACCTCAGGCCTCTTATTGGCCTTCCTGTGCATCTGGCCTCAGACTAGTTCTCTGAGCACCTTTGAGAACCCTTCATCAGCACTTGCTGCTGGGCTGCTTTCTGCCTCCCGTATGTGGGTGAGGCACCTATGAAAACGAGCATGAGTGAGCCACACTGAATATTCTGACCACCTATACCTGCAAATGACTGAAGGGACAGAAACCTGTACCTAGGGTGAGGTGGGAGGTCTGCACAACAGAGGCATGAAAAAGCATGTAAGGTCCCTGAGCAGGCCCATCATCTGGCCTGGGGATCCTCTCTGTCCCTCTCAATCCTCCCTCCTCCTGAGACCCGATCCTCCTGCTAATACCCAAGGATCTCCCAGTGGGCAGGGGCCATTCTCATTCATTCAGTCTTCCTGAGAAGTGTACTTCATGGACTGTGTAACATTTCAAAAAAGAAACGGAGGCTTTCCATTCTTCCCCCCAGAAGCAGCTCTTCTACCTATAGTTTAGAATTTCTAAATGATAGCAGTCCACAGGGAGCAGCCCTCCCTTCCCTGTCCAGTCCCCCCATCGTTGGCCCTTCCTTCCTGTTCTTGCCTCCTCATGTAGTTTTCATCCCAGTGGTCCTTCCAATCTACCGCCCTCCTCTCATGCCCTGGCCTGTGCTGTGGACACACTGTTTCCTCTTCTCTTTCCCTCCCCTTCTTCCTGGACTCACTGCTCCTCACTTTCCAGCATCTCCTCAAATGTTCCTCCTCCTGGAGGCCTCCCTTGTCCATCCCATTCCAGGCCTGATGCCTGTCCCCTTAGTTCCCAAGGGCAGCTCTTCTACCTACAGTTTAATTTTGGTTACATTTTCTGAATCTCCTTTGAACCAAAGCATCAGAAAATATGAAGACTTGTCTGTGCTGTACTCCTGTGACCCCCATGCATATAGTGGTTTAACAGTAATACAAAAGGTTCTGATCATCTAAAAGTCATATGCACAAAAAGCTTTTTATTTATTTATTTATTTTAAAAAAACTATTTTCTATTTTTCTTTTTTTTTTTTTTTTTTTTTTTTTGAGACGGAGTTTCGCTCTTGTTACCCAGGCTGGAGTGCTATGGCGCAATCTCGGCTCACGGCAACCTCCGCCTCCTGGGTTCAGGCAATTCTCCTGCCTCAGCCTCCTGTGTAGCTGGGATTACAGGCACGCGCCACCATGCCCAGCTAATGTTTTGTATTTTTAGCAGAGACGGGGTTTCACCATGTTGACCAGGATGGTCTCGAACTCTTGATCTTGTGATCCACCCGCCTCGGCCTCCCAAAGTGCTGGGATTACAGGCGTGAGCCACCGCGCCCGGCCTACAAAAAGCTTTTTAAAAATATTTATAGCTGATAAAATAAAATAAACATGTTTCAACTCCCTTTCTACCATACCATTTCTACCATATATTCTAATATATTTTATCCTCTATAAAATTATATGCTGCCTAACATATATGTACACATCTTCTGAGTGGTGTTTTAAAATTGAAAACTAAAGATGCTTTTAATATTCACTTATCAAAGAGTAGGAAAATAATACATACCTACATTATAAGCCATCTGTACAGAGATATGTCATGAATACTTTTAGAAGAACTGCTTGGAATGAATCAGAAAGTCCAGCCAATGTTTCTAACTTTGGGGTAAGAGAAAAACAAACATGCATATTAACAAAATGCCTATCCAGAAAAATGGTCTCTCAATGTTCTGTCTATAAAAATTAATAATTTTTAACATTTCCAAACCAGAACAAACTAAATTATATAGTAGTAACAGTCACATCTCTTTTTCCTCATATTTTCAGCATATTTTGTCTTGTGGTTCCCAGAAAAATCTCTGTTCTCTTCTTTTCAACTAGAGAACTTTTCTGGAAAATGATAAAATAGAGAATGTGTTACATCTGTCTTTCCTAATAAAAGTGATATTCCCCTTTAATTTAATAAAGAGTAATGAATGAAAGGGTGAAAATAATTGCAAAGATATGCTGAAAAATGATTATAAATGCATTGTTAAAGGTAGGATGAAAGGCACAATACAAAATACATAATACAAAAACATATGTTTGGTTGTAGATGATGCCAAAATAATAAATCTATACACAAATGTTAAAAGCCTTTGAATGCCAAAACAAAAAACAAGACGAAATTATAACAAGCAAGGTTTGTAGTCATTGTGTCATTGGTCAGCAAGCAGAATGACTGCTGAACTAACTCGATCTTTGTACAAAAGAACTGGATTCTCCAATGGGCCCCAGAGGGAGGATTGGTAGCTGCTAGCCAGGCAGACCCAAAAAAGAGGCTCTGAACTCAGCAGTGCCTGCTGTGTTCCGTGCTTGATGGGACAGTCTCGAGGAAGTGACCACAGTCACCGGGCAGTCTGTACTTGTGCAAGAGGCACGCAGGGATGTCTATGCAGGCTCCTGAGCTGCTCCCTGTTGCTGCTGGAGCACAAAGTTCCCCAGGCTTTGTACAGCAGAGAAAGAAAATGAGGGGGCATGAGTAAACTCCAGATAACAAAATACAACATATGTGGAAAGGTAACTTTGTAGACTATGGTTCAAAATGTCCATTGAGAAGGAAGATAGAGATGGTAAAGAGTTACTTCAAGGTTTTCACTTGAGTGAAATTCCCTGAAGACAGAAAAATCTGTATCTCAGAAATGTATACCCTAATCTTAGACATATGAGCAATACAATCAGCTGCACTGCAAATATAATTCTTCCATTACAATTATATATTTATATTTTCCTTCTTTTCCATTTCTGTTAGTCTATTCTCACATTGCTATAAAAAATGCTTGAGATCATGCAATTTATAAAGGAAAGAGGTTTAAATGTCTCATAATTCTGTAGGCTGCACAGGAAGCATGATGCTGGTATTTCCTTAGCTTCCGGGTAGGCTTCAAAACACAATCACGACTGAAGGTGGAGGAGGAACAGGCACAACACACAGTCCGAGCAGGCACGAGAGAGAGGCTGGGAACTGCCACACACCTTTAAACAACAAGATCTCATGTTGTTGTTATTATGTATGTACTCTACTTACCTGTACCATAATGATATGTATTCTGTGGCTTTTGGACTTGGCAAGTTCAATATAAATCCATAAGTTAAGTGTCAACAGAGTGTACGGTCCCAAAGAATTCATGATTGTGTCTGCAGAAGAAAAAGATTAATTAACGAAGGTGTTTCTCAAAGGCTTGAAGGTACATTTTTCTTTTAAAACCTGACACAAGAACAGACAACCAAACACCATATGTTGTCACTTATAGGCAGGTGTTGACCAATTAGAACACATGGACACAGGGAGGGGAGCATCAAGCACTGCTGTCATTAGTGGGGGACTAGGGGAGGGACAACTGTGTGGGGAGGGTGGGGAGGGATAACGAGGGGAGAAATATCAGATATAGGTGATGGGGGGATGAAGACAGCAAACCACCTTGCCATGTATGTACCTATGCAATAATCCTGCATGGTCTGCACATGTACCCCAGAACCTAAATTACAATAATAAAAGGAATCCCTGTACCAAGAAGATACCCTTGAATGCAGAATTGTGATATACATTCCCTATCACTTATATGTCTTAATATTGTGATAGCTTCTAATGTTTGAAAGCCATGTCTTTCAAAAAGTCTTTAGTGGATCCAGCAGACACACTGCCAGTATCTGAAAATGGGGCTTAATGAGGCATGGGAGGCACAGGCTACCATCTTTTTTTTCCCCATTTATTTATTTTATTGCATTTTAGGTTTTGGGGTACATGTGAAGAACATGCAAGATTGTTGCATAGGTACACATGATGGGGAGGAAGGCAGCAAATCACACTGCCACCATATTTAAAGAAGTAGTTAGTGACACAAAATGGTGACTTTGTAATGGGGAGTTTTACAGGAAGGGAGAAAATTGACGGGAGTCCCTAGGGACTGTGGGAGTTCTCTTGAAGTAGGTGTGTCTGGGTTTGGAACGGTGGATAGCAGACAAATTGCTTTGCCATTCTCTCCTGACATCTCTGTTCATCCTCTGTCAAAGGTTTTAGTTGTTGTTGTTTCTTTTGTGTTTGTTTTTTGGCACAAACAAGTACTTTTAAAACATGTTTTTATTTTGAAATAATTTTAGATGTATAGAAAAATGCAGCCAGGCACAGTGGCTCACACTGTAATCCCAGCACTTTGGGAGGCCGAGGTGGGTGAATTACTTGAGGTCAGGAGTTCGAGACTAGCCTGACCAACATGGTGTAACCCCATCTCTACCAAAAATACAAAATTAGCCAGATGTGGTGGTGCACATCTATAATCCCAGCTACACAGGAGGCTGAAACAGGAGAATTACTTGAACCTGGGAGGCAGAGGTTGCAGTGAGCCAAGATTGTGCCATTGCAATCCATCCTGAGCAAGAAGAGAGAAACTCTGTTGCAAAAAAAAAGAAATGCACTTTAAATAAAACACACATATAAATTAATAGATTCCCTATTTACCCTGACATGATTAATATATTGCATACCTGTATCAAAATATCTCATGTAACCAATAAATATATATACTATGTACCCCCCAAAAATTAAACATCTAAAGTTTAAAAAGTAAATGCATAAAACAAAATATATCATGCTACCACTATTTGTAAGAATGCAGGAATAGCAATATTAACATCAGAGACAACAGATTTTGAAGCAAGGAAGACTATCAATGATACCCAAGTGCTCCCCAGTTCTTGGCATCCCTTGTCTGGAGAAGGAAGGCCACATCACTGCATCACCTGAGCTTGTGCAGGAGCCACCCAGGGATGTTTGTGAAGGTTCCCATCTCCATAAGCTGTGTACAGTGAAAAATAAAGTCCTTAAGGCTCCAGAAAGCAAGAAAAGTAAAAGGACATACCAAATAATACTGAGAAGGTACTTAAAAAAAAATGATGCCGTAAGTGATGATGGGAAGATTGACTTAAGACTCACAAAACAATGGAGACAGCAGTGAAATACCAATTTCTAATGTTCTAAACATACCTGTTTATTCAAAGTTAAGCTGGGAGCTGGGCATGGTGGCTCATACCAGTAATTCTCAGCACTTTGGGAAGCCAAAATAGGAGACACGCTTAAGCCCAGGAGCTCAAGATCAGCCTGGCCAACACAGTGAGACCTCATCTGTACAATATTTTTTAAAAAATTAGCCGGGAGTGGTGCCACACACCTGTAGTGCGAGCACTTGGAAGGCTGAGATGGGACAATCGCTTGAGCCCACAAAGTCAAGGCTGCATTAAGCCATGATCATGCCACTGCACTCCAGCCTGTGAAACAAAGTGAGACCCTGTCTCAAAACAAAACAAAAAGTTAAGCTGGGCATAACTGTTATAGGTAGAAAGCATAAAGATTTTTAACTTTTCTCATGAATTGTTTCAGGATAGCCAGGTGGTTCAGAGAAAAAGCAATGGAATAAAACTTCTTGAGTTCAATGAAGTCTCTTACTAAGACAGTGTGGTATTTGCACAAAGAGAAATGAATGAAGAAAGAAAAGAGAGCTCAAAACAAATGAATGCATATGTAAGTAAATAATTTATAAGAACGATCAATGGGGAAAAGATGGATTTTTCTATAAATATTCTAAGAAATTGAATATACATTGCTGCTAAATAAAAATCTGTTTTTTGAGCTCACATTACTATTACTCAAAATATCAATTCCAGGTGTATCACAGATATAAATATAAAAGTAATTTAATATAATCTTTAGAATCTAATTTAAGACAATAATTTCACAATATGGGGCAGGGTATTACTTCTGAAACTAGACTTAGAACACATCTTCCATGTAGGAGAAAAAACATATTCTAATATCCGGTGAGCAAGGACTCCGGAGACAGATTGAATCAGACCCAGGACCTTCTATTAATATTTCTTTGCTATCTGGGAGCTATGGCTCACACCTGTAATCCCACTTTGGGAAGCCAAGGTGGGCAGATTATCTGAGGTCAGGAGTTCTCAACCCACCGGGCCAACATAGAGAAACCTTGTCCCTACTTAAAAAAAAAACAAGGCCGGATGTGGTGGCTCACACCTGTAATCCCAGCACTTTGGGAGGCCGAGACATGCAGATCACGAGGTCAAGAGATCGAGACCATCCTGGCCAACATGGTGAAACCCTGTCTCTACTAAAAATACAAAAATTAGTCAGGCATGGTGGTACACGCCTGTAGTTGCAGCTACTCAGGAGGCTGAGATGGAAGAATTGCTTGAAGCTGGGAGGCGGAGGTTACAGTGAGCCAAGATTGCGCCACTGCACTCCAGCCTGGTGACAGGGCAAATCTCAGTCTCAAAAACAAACAAACAAAAATTAGCCTGGCATGGTGGTGGACACTTGTAATCCCAGCTACTCAGGAGGCTGAGGCAGGAAAATCACTTGAACACAGTGGGTGGAGGTTGCAGTGAGCAGAGGTTGTGCCACTGCACTCCAGCTGGGGCAACAAGAGTGAAACTCTGTCTCAAAAAAAAAAAAAATTCTTTCTTGTAGGGCTTCAGCTCAGATTCAGATTGGAATATGAGAGTGGTAATAGTTCCTACCTCTTGAGAGGTTGAGAGGATTGAATGAACTAATGGGTTGAGAGGCTTGAATGAACTAATGATACATAAGGCCTATAGGCTAACAGAAGGTCCAAGACAACTACTAGTTCAATATTTGTTAATACTGACAGCTTTGTCTAAGTATTGCAAGGTGCATAATTTGCGTCAATTGTAATATGGATCCTAACTTTATATATTACAGTGAAGAATAAAACCATTGATGA